GTATGGCTCTGTCACTATCCCTGTCCCCATCATCATCCCTGTCCCCATCATCATCTATGTCCTCATCATCATCCCTGTCCCCATCATCATCCCTGTCCCCATCATCATCTATGTCCTCATCATCATCCCTGTCCCCATCATCATCCCTGTCCCCATCATCATCCCTGTCCCCATCATCATCTATGTCCTCATCATCATCCCTGTCCCCATCATCATCCCTGTCCCCATCATCATCCATGTCCTTATCATCATCCCTGTCCCCCTCATCATCCATGTCCTTATCATCATCCCTGTCCCCATCATCATCCCTGTCCCCATCATCATCCATGTCCTCATCATCATCCTTGTCCCCACCATCCCTGTTTCTGTCATCGTCCTTGTCCCCATTATCCTTGTCTCCATCATCAGCCCTGTCTCCTTCATCATCATCCTTGTCCTCATCATCCCTGTTTCCATCATCATCCCTGTTTCTACCATCTCCCTGTCCCCATTATCCCTCTATCCATCTCCCTGTCCCCGTTATCCCTGTGTCCATCATCCCTGTTTACATCCCCATCCCCATTGCCGTGACCTTCCCTGGCGTGCCAGGGCCGCCTAGTGGTCGGTGACAGCACCGTAGGTGACATCTTGGGGACATTTTTGTCCCCTTGTCACTGCCAGACACAGGGTGGGGACAGCTGTCCTGCTGCCCCCCCATCCTCACAGCCATGGTGGTTCTGGCTGGTGTCCCCCTCGGTGTGGGTGGCCTGGGGCACCCCTGGCTTGGGGACTCCCTCCCGCTGGCCCCTGGTGATGCCTCTGAGCAGCCTCTTCTCTCCCCCGCAGCGGTGGCAGGACCTGAACGTCATCAGCAGCCTGTTGAAATCCTTCTTCCGGAAGCTTCCCGAGCCCCTGTTCACGGACGGTGAGTCCCTGCACCCCCTGGGCCACCAGAGCCCCCCGAGTGGCCACTGGTGACCCTGTGCCAATGGCTGGCACCAGGCAGCCCCAGGGCCTGTCCCACCCATCCCTGTGTCAGGGACAGGCCCCCACACCCAGAGTGAGACAGTGCCCACCCGAGGAGGGGGGCACAGACCCTCCCTCACCGAGGCCCCTGGGCCACCTTCAGTGCCCTATTCCAGTGGGATCAGCCCCTTCCCCAGGATCTCCAGCTGGTTCATCCAGGGGTCCCCAGCTCTGGGGGGACGTCCTCTCCCCTCCACCCACTTCTGACCTCTCCCATGTCCCACTTTCAGATAAATACAACGACTTTATTGAAGCCAACCGGATAGAAGATGCCAGCGAGAGGATGAGGACGCTGCGGAAGCTGGTAGGGAGATGGGGCAGGGGCTCCACAGCTCTGGAGCCCCTCTTTGGGGCTGGTTGGGGTGGGAGGGGTGAGCAGAGGGGTGACCTGGTGCCTCCCCACAGATCCGGGACCTGCCAGGTCACTACTACGAGACGCTCAAGTTCCTGGTGGGTCACCTGAAAACCATCGCTGACCACTCGGAGAAGAACAAGGTACCAGACCCCAAACCCTGGGAATCTCCTGGGCCCCCTGCCCCACCCGGAGCCCCCGCAGCTCGGGCTGAGCTGGGAGCACTAACCTGGCTCTGGTTGCAGATGGAGCCCCGAAACCTGGCGCTGGTGTTCGGCCCCACGCTGGTCCGGACGTCCGAGGACAACATGACCGACATGGTGACGCACATGCCCGACCGCTACAAGATCGTGGAGACCCTCATCCAGCACGTGAGTGGCACCAGCGGATGGGTGGGCACCGCTGTGGCTGGAGGAGGGGGGTGATCAGCACACCAGGCATGAGAATTGGGGTCCCTGGCCATGCCGAGCTCCCCCCGCTCCCGGCCGGGCCGTAACCCCACTCCTGTCTCCCCGCAGTCAGACTGGTTCTTCAGTGACAAGGAGGACAAGGGTGAGAAGGTGAGTCCTGTCCCCTCTGTGTGTGAGGGGATCTTGCTGTGGGGCAGGGGGGGCACAGAGCCTTGGTTGGCTCTTGGCAGCCCCCTGAGCTCCATCCCCGCTCCCCTGGCAGACCCCCGTGGATGAGAAGGAGGCTCAGTCCGTGCCCAACATCGAGTACCTGCTCCCCAACATCGGCAGGACGGCGGCGCCCGGCGATGCCGCAGGTGAGCACTGGTGTCTGTGGCACCGGGCCCTGCAGCCCTGGCACTGGGGCACCCCGGGGTGCCCCTCTGGATGCTCTGTCCCCCCGTGCCCACACCCCTGGGCAGCCGGCAAACCCACACACGGCACACCCGGCTGTGCTGGAGCGGGACATCCTGGCGCCCTCCTCACTGGAAAACGGGAACAACCCCCCCGGGGATGCCGGATGAGCCCCCTCCCCGCCCTCTCCCGTCACCCTTCTCTCTGGTGGCTGCTCCTCATCCCTCCGTGGCACCCCGGCAGCGCCCACCCCGCGGGACCCCCGCCCGTGCCCGCGCTGCCAACCCCGACACCGGGAGACTTTGATGTTCGACTGATTTCTTACGTTCTTTCCTTGAACTTCTCTGTGCTGTCCTCTTCCTCCTCCTCCTCCTCTTCCTCCTCCAGCGGACCTCCTGGAGAGCTAGAGCGGGTACAGTTTGATCCTGGGTGCATTGATCCCGCACTAACCCCTCGGGTGACCACGAGAGAGCGGGAGCAGGGCGGGCAGAGGGAGGGGAGGGGGCCCTGTCCTGCCTGGCCGCTGTCCCCAGGGTCCCCAGCACCAGGAGGGGGCTGCTGAGCCTCTGGGGAGCCCCAAATCCGTTAACCCTGTTATCCCACGTCATTGGCCGGTGCTCACGGTGCCATTCCCTGGCAGGGCTGGGGGCTGGGTGTCCCGGGACACTCAAACTCTGGGATATGGGGGTCCCAAAGCCCCGGGGAGGGTCAGCACCCCCTTCCTGCCTCCCCCTCTCTCGTTGTCAGCAGCTGTTTAACCCCATCCCGGGCGTGCAGGGCGGGAGAGGGTGTCTGTGTCTTGTCCTTGTCCTTCACACCATGGCAGCGGTGCCAGGGCTGCCCGTCACCCCCCTGTCCCCTCTTACCCCCTAACCCCCAGGGGAGCCGGGACGACCCCATGGCCTGTCCCAGCCCTCTCCAGCACAGCCCATTCCAGACCCTGCTCCGAGACTGGATTTGCTATGGAGCCACCTCCCCGTGCTCTGTCCTGGTGGCACGGCGGTGGCAGTGCCCTGTCCCTGTCCCCTCTGTGCCCCGTGGCTGTGGGAGGGTTGAGGTCCTGGCACTGGGGTCCTGGCTGTACTTCCCAGCTGTGTGTGCCTCTGTGTGTCCCCCTTATCCCCACTCCTCACCCTGGGTTTCTGCAGTGGGTGAGCAATGCCAGGGACCCCCAGAGCCCCCCCTGAGCCTCCTGGCACCTCCTGTACCCACTGGCACACCCCTGCCAGGGGCCAGCCGGTGTGACAGCCCCGGCACGTCCCCATCCTGGCCTGGGGGAACGGAGCAGCATCTGTGACAGCCCCAGCATGTCCCCATCCTGGTCTGGGGGAGCGGAGCAGCATCCCCAGCTCTGCCCCCCGGCCCCCTCCCCAGCACCCCCCTCCACCCCTGGGGCCTCACTGACCCCCCTCTCCCCTCTGCTTTCCAGGCTCGACCCGCAGCGGCTCCGCCAAACCGAAGGTGAGGGGGGTCCCGGGCTGGGGCTGGCGGGGGGGGGACACACACAGCGGTGGGGACACTGAGCCCGTCCTCGTCCCTGTGTCCCCACCGTCCCTGTCCCTGTGTCCCCACCGTCCCTGTCCCTGTGTCCCCACCGTCCCTCACCGCGGTGTCCCCGTTCAGGGCACGTGGCCGTCCCGCAAGGCGCCGCCGCACCGGGAGCTCCTCGGCATCCCCTTCGTCTCGGCCGCCGCCCGCAGGAGGAAGAAGAGGAGAGAGGCCGAGGGCGTCGGCAGCAGCACCGACGACGACGCGGAGCGCAGGGACACGCCGGGCCGGGACCAGGAGCGCCAGGGGACCGCGGCCGCCCCGCCGGGACCCGGCAAAGCCCCCCGCGGGACCGGCACCGAGCCGGCCGCCCCCGGCCCGGCCAGGGGGGAGCGGGAGAGCTCCACGGATCCCGCGGCGGGATCCGGCTCCGAGCCGGCGCCGGACGCCCGCTCCATCGTGTCCGGCTACTCCACGCTGTCCACCATGGACCGCAGCCTGTGCTCCGAGGTGCAGTCGGTGGCCGGGAGCCGCGGGGAGGAGGCGGACGATGAGCGGAGCGAGCTCAGCCACATGGAGACGGACACGGAGAGCCGGGAGGGCGCCCGAGCCCGGCCGGGGCAGGCCGGGGGGGCCGGTGGTGACGAGGACAAGGGTCCCCTGGGCCGCCCCTCCTTCAACTCCCACCGCCTGATCCAGTGTGACACGCTGGCCCGCAGGAAGCTGGCCCGGCCGCGGCCCACCGGGGAGCCCCCCGAGCCCGCCGGGGAGGAGCAGGGCTGGGCCCCCCCCGGGCGGCCCTCGCTGCGGGAGCACCTCCGGCAGCACCTGCGGGGCTCCACCGACGACATGGGGGTCCTGGGGGTCCGGCTGCGCCGAGCCCACTCCCCCGAGACCCGCCGCAAGAAGAGCAGCTGGCGCCGGCACACGGTGGTGGTGCCCGGCGGCCTCAAAGACCTCAACTTCAACGAGTGGAAGGAGCCGCGGGGGCTGGAGGGCTCCCCGGGCCCCTGCCACGACAAGGACTCGGGGCTCAGCAGCCTGGAGTCCACCAAAGCCCGGCCCCCGGCCCCCACCCCGGCACAGCCTGGCACCGCCAGAGAGGGGACGGGCACCAAGAGCCCCCCGGGCAGCCCCGGCCCCCCGGCCCCCCTGCGCTTCCCCCAGTGTCTCTGACCCCCCCGGCCCCCCCAGCCAGTGTTTAATTTAAGGACTCGCCCTTGTTCTCGTATTTAATTGTGCTCTGGACGAGCTGCTCTTGTTTAACAGGCGGCCCCGCGTGGGGGTGGGACGAGAAGCCACCTCGTCCCCTGGGCTTTGGGGGGGGTCCCGCGGAGGTCCCATCCCGTGGTCCCGCTGTGGTCCCATTGCACGGCCCCCCAGCCCCCCGGGCAGTGCCAGGAGGGGTGTGGGGGCTCACGGGGACTGTCCCCACCGTGGGCAGTGGTGGCCCTGCTGTCTCAGCCATGGCAGAGTGAAGTGCGGGCACTTCCCTGGGCACTGTGGCCACTCTGCCAGGGACTCCCCTGTGCTGGGGACCCTGGAGGGACCCTGGTATCAGAGACCCCTGTGCTGGGGACCCCAGGGGACCCTGGTGTCAGAGACCCCTGTGCTGGGGATTCTGGGGGGACCCTGGTGCCAGAGACCCCTGTGCTGGGGACCCTGGGGGACCCTGGTGTCAGAGACCCCTG